GACTTTCAATTAATGAAACTGTTAAATCAAATTAAATAGTATGGTGATACGTATGTTTTATTTTTAAATTCCTATACTTATTCAATTTTCGTTCAATTTTTTGTCTATTTCTTCCAATTTTCGTATTGTTTTTTTAATTATACCATCAATATCACTTTAAAAACGGAATATAAAAAATCATAATATTACTAAAAATTCGATATCACTAAAAATTTGATATTAATAATTACAATTTTATTCAACGTAAAAACATATTACAACTTTATCATATCTGACTTTTATCAAAAAATGAATAAAGGGAGAAGAAAACGCATTGCTGCTAATATCTTGGACGAATATAATAATTTGAGTTCTTCAACCTCTGAACGAACTTATGCCGAATTTACGACCAGAAAACCAAGATCGAAGGTTCTGTGCTATTGCAGCAATTGTAATGGGAAAATGATTGATCCGCGCACAAAGGAGAGACACGAGCAAATGAATTCTTTAGAACCATTAAATTCCGATAAGGCTCCAACGTCTCAAGAGTTAGTAGAACTGATTGATTTGACAATATCATTAGAAGAACCACAAAATACGACAATATCGTTAGTAGAACCACAAGATACGACAATACCATTAGTAGAACCACAAGATATGACAATACCGTTAGTAGAACCACAAGATACGACAATACCGTTAGTAGAACCACAAGATACGACAATACCGTTAGTAGAACCACAAGATACGACAATATCTATTGATACATATTCTGATAATGATACGTATGAGGAACAACAATATGTATTTCTTCCACGTAAAAAAAGGTCAAAACCAGGCACACTTCGTCATATTACTGAAGTTGAGCAAGTCGCTGAATCAACTAAATATGACACGGATGATATCTACACTAGTGAATCTTCGGCACAAGAAGATTCTCCTAATAATGATGATAACGAATTTTCAAGTAATTTTGAGAATTATTCTCATCCTATGTTCGACATACCAGATATTTCAGACACACCGAATATTTCAGAATTACCAACAGATGAACTAATTAAGGGGATTTTGATATGGATTATGAAGTTCAGGTCGAGTCATAACATACCAAATACCGCAATTGAAGAATTAATACAATTTATTAAAATAATATTGAAAGTGTGTAAAAATATCAATCCCGAATCATTTCCAAATTCATTATATATGTTAAGAAAAGCGTTAGGACTTATCGATCGATTTACGCAATTTGCAGCTTGCCAAAAATGCCACAAATTATACAAAAAAGAGGATATAATATCAAATGATGATAATACTATTATGAAATGCAGCCATGTCGAATTTCCAAATTCGGCCACAAAGAGATTAAAGCAATGTCAAACTCCTTTAGGAAAGAAAATTTCTTTAAATAATAGTATATCAATTGTTCCTGAATTAGTTTATCCGGTCTCGAGTATACAACAGCAGCTTTCTAGTATGTTCAAGCGACCAGGATTTGAAGAATTATTGCGGCATTGGACTCGTCGTTCAGTAATTGATAATGTTTTATCAGACATATACGACGGGCAAATTTGGCAAAATCTTAAGGAATCAAACGAACAAGGGTCAAATAACTTTTTCTGACCGGACAAGGCTGATACTCATCTAGGATTAATGATAAATTTGGATTGGTTCCAGCCGTACGAAGGAACGATTTACAGTACAGGTGTAATATATGCAATAATATGTAATCTATCTCGGGATGTTCGATTTAAGCCTGAAAATATGCTTATACTCGGCATATTACCGGGGCCCAATGAGGTTAAATTACATAGAGTAAATCATTACCTTTCACCAATAATCACGGAATTAGAATCACTTTGGGAAGGCGTGATTCTTAATCGCACTTATGAATGTCCAAATGGCAAAAATATTCGAGCAGCATTAATAATTGCTTCGTGCGATATTCCTGGAGCTCGAAAATTATGCGGGCACATCTCTGCCCTTGCATCATGCTATCGATGCGAAAAAAGGGCCAATAATCGCAATTTTGGTGGTATGGCGGATATGAGCGACTGGTTTATCATGAAAGATCCAGTCGAGCATCGTCAAAAGGCTTTAGAATGGCGACGATGCAAATCTAACGCAGAAAGAGAGAGATTCGTCAAGAAGAATGGCGTAAGGTGGTCTGAAATATTAAGACTGCCGTATTTTGATCCAATTCGTTTTGTTGTTTTAGATCCGATGCATTGCCTTTTTCTAGGAATCGCTAAATGGATAACAAAACGAATATAGATTGACGAAGGTGTATTAACAGAAAAAGATCTTCAATCAATTCAAAAGAAAATTTACGAATTTAAAGTACCATCAGATTTGGGACGAATTCCTGGTAAAATCCATTGTGGTGAAGGGTTTTCTAACTTTACCGCTGACCAATGGCGCAACTTTTTCCTAATATATGCCACTGTTGCTTTATGGAATCATCTTCCTGGTAAAGATCGCAAAATTCTTACGTATTTTGTAAGAGTTTGTATGATTTTGGTTAGACGAATTGTGGAGATTAACGATATGAAAGAAGTCCATGAACTTTTGATAAAGATAATTAAATTGATCGAAGAATGCTATGGCGAAGAAAAAATAACGCCAAACCTCCACCTATCATTACATCTATGCTAGTGCTCTTACGATTACGGACCTCTGTATTCGTTCTGGTGCTTTAGCTTTGAACGAATGAATGGCTTATTAGGTAATTCAAATTTAATTGTGTCGATTTTTCGAATTATATTATTTTATTTAGCAAAGATTAATAATAAATTATTTATTAGGATCTTTGCCTAATAGCCACCGCCAAATCGAATCTGAATTAATGCGTCGATTGATGACCGAAGCGCAAATAAATGATATTATTAATAGTTCAAGTTCAGAAGTAATAGGACTCGAATTACTCGATAAACGACCTTCTGTCTGTTTTCTTTCCGAATTTCTAACAGATGAAATGTATCGATTTTTGATGAATTCCAGAAATATATCGGAGTCACCAATTACTGGTTGCGAGGAATTTCCGGGTAAATTTTTAGCACTGCAATCCAAAGATATTCATCTTGAGGAACAAATCTTCGATTTACTTATCGAATATTACGAGGATACATATGTAGATTCTATATTCAGAAAACTGTTCACGGAAAATTTACCCAATTCAACGATCATTATCAACAGAGCGAATCGATATGGAAGATGTCAAATCTGTGCAGAAACTTTTGGATTTGCTGCTGCAACACGACATATTAAGAGCTCATTCGTCTTAGCTAAATTTATTAATCGTGATGGGAATAGCGTTGATATTTACCTAGGTCAAATCCAATTTTTTTTCGAACATAGCGTTCATTTATCTTCCCGTAATTTGACACACAAATTGGCTTACATCAAATGGTACAAACTGGCAAATTTGACATCTCGATTCCATTTCAGTATTGACGATGATGTCAAAACTTGCAACGTCAAATTATGGGAAGATAGTTTCTACCCAAGCAGTAGAGACAATATAATCCCGATACACAACATTTTAGGTTGGTTTATACTTGTAAAATACAAAAAATCGGATCGATCTAATGCCAGGGAATATTTAGCCGTTATTCCTATAAATAGAAAGTTCCATTTGCGTTGATTTAATATAACATTCGAACTGGTATTTACACCAATTTGAATTTCAAAACATTTTTTAACAAATTATTTTTTTATTATATTTAGTATTATTAATATAGTATAACCGCTATTTTATCTAGAAAAGTGAATAAAAAAAGCATGCAATTCGGCCATTATTTTTTATATTTTTTGTAAAAAAAAAGTTATAGTTTGACCATTATTCTGTTAGGTTGAATATAGTTTAATTTTATTATACGCATTTCGACCATCATTCTGCAGGATCTAATCAGTGTCGAATATAGATTGAATTGTATATCATTACTAATTTAGGTCGATTTTTTTTAAAATTGGCCGAATTTAGGCTGAATTTTTTAGAGGTCGAATATTCCTATTTCGACTAGTGTAAAACACGAGTTCAATTCTATTAAAGTTATTTGTGAAGTCACAAATAGCGAAGGGGGGGATAATGTAAACGGTCGAATATCAAGCATGAAAAGATGATAAAATTCAATCACCAAATGTAATTGCCAAATATTAAAAACGAACAAATTAATTATGAATTGACGTAGATGGATAAATAATTAGCCAAAAAGGATAAACATTTAGGAAGAGTAATGATCTACATGATGTAATATTTATCGAATGATTAACAAAGAACCAATAGAATAATTAGAGTCGATCAATTGCGGCTTAGCAATCTTTAACAATAAGAACTATTAGAAAGAATAATTATAAGTCACAAAAGATAGATTATAAGCAAAACACATAAAGCGAATTGAAAGAACATATAAAATAATGTCAGAAAGATTAAAGAACATAAAATAATATAAAAGATAATATAAAAAGATAGTATAAAGATAGAACATAAAAGATAACATATTAAAAAGAACATATATAAAAGATAGCATATTAAAAGATAGCGTATTTAAAATATAGATAGCATATTAGAAAGATAGTTCAAAGATAATATATAGATAAAATAGAAAGTAGCATAAAATTTGTATAAATAGAGAGCAGAATTCAAAGTAATTCCATAGTTCTCATCCACAAAACTCAATAAAAATATAAGTTTCATTTAATTATTTTTTAGTAAAGTTTAATATTAATTAAAGGTAATAGGTTCGCCCTAAACTTTAATTAATGTTTGCTTAATTAATTTTAATTGAATAAAATGAAGATTTTAAGATGAATTAAATATACACTTTTGAAAAGTAATGATTCGTAGCGAGAGTTATCGAAGTTTGAAATTAAAGGTAAAAGTGGATATAATTTGGGGAAAATTCAGAGAAGTTAAATTTATTTTATATCGTTCAACGTTTTATATTACTAACGCTATTTATGTTGTGAACCAAGAATGTTGTTATGATATGTTGTTGTATGTTGTTCGTTGATTATGTTGTTTGTTAATTATGCCGTTGATTATTTGCTTGTTCGTTTATTTGTTCGTTCGTTCGATTATTTGTTTGTTCAACCATGAGAACACCTGTTCGATGTGGCAACTCTGTAAATTGATGACAGAGGGAATTGGGGGATTTCAACACCTATTATACATTGCATATATATTGCTTACATCTTCTGCATTTTTTTATCTGTTTAGAATTATTCAACCCACTACTTTCAGAAAATTTATCAGATAAAGAATAATCAACATTTTGACATGCATTTCCTAAAGATGTACAAAGTTCAGCATTTGTATGATTAATACATTGCTGTTCCAAAGAACTTTTATATCTCTTTTGAGGTGGTCTTCTACAAGGTTTTACATAGATTGGATTTGAAATTTTTCTTTGAAAATCATCTGTATTTTCCTTATCATTCATTTCACTCAAATTAACTTCTATAGAAAATATGAAATTATTAAGTAGATTAATATACTCTGATTCTTGACCTAATTGTTTAGAAAGATTATATGCTTTTATTTGTAATCCACAAGCTTTTGCATATTTTTAACAATCAGTTATATTTTCCTTTAGTTCTGGTGTAAAAATATTTCCTCCATGTATGATATCTGGATAAGAATATTTCAAATTAAGATTTGAATGAGTTGGTACACTTTGAGAAGTATTAAATAATTGAATTGATGGTAAAACATGTATTTCATTTTCAGATAATTGTGCAACTTGATCATTATACCATCTTGATGGAATCAATAAAATATTAAAAAATGCTGACGTACTTTTTGTAAGAATTCTAATAAAATGATGACAAATAATTCCTTTATTGATCAATTTAAGTATATGCATATGTGACTTTCATCTTGTAAAAGTATAACGTATTGTGTGAGCTATAGTTGTACACCAATTGATGGTTATACTCACCATACTTCAATAATAAAGGAATTTGGTATATTTTTCATTAAGTCTTTGAGTAATGCCTTTTTGTAATCATATTTGTTTTCAATCATCTTGAGATGTATATTCAAAATCCTACAAAAGAAAATAATAAATAAAGTTTAATAACACTCAAATATCCCATTCAAATCTATATAGTATGTTAATTTTACACTGCATTCCCTTACACTAATCCTAAATAACTCCTTTTTAACGCAAATTCACTATGCTGCACTCCTTTACTTAACCCTAAATAACCCTTTTTCAACGTTAATTCACTACGAATAATACACTCCCTTATCCTAATCCTAAATAACTCCTTTTTTAACGCAAATTCACTATGCCGCACTCCCTTACTTAACCCTAAATAACCCCTTTTTCAATGCTAATTCACTACTAATAATGCACCCCCTTACCATACTTTGGCGTATTATTATTAGTTTTAGTTTAATTTACCAAGATATCTGAATTTAAATTCAAACTAATTTGAATTGCTTCATATAAAATACTTTCAGAAATTTCTTTTTTTGCAATTATTAGTAGTATATTTGGTGTAAGAAATTCTTTTAATATTTAAATAATAGATCCAAAGAATTTTTTATCAATATGTGGTATGCTAGTCATAATATTTCAAGTTTTTTGATCTTCAAATTCAGCATACTGTCTTTCCTTTTCCAATCTCATATGGATTTGCTGAGTAAGATAAACTAATGAAGCTGTATAAAGTCCTTCTAATTTAATGGTATTATTTTCAGATTCAGCTCTTTGAATTGTTGTAATACCAGCTGTAAATTGGGTTTATGTATAACAATATACTCAGAAAAATCGTATTGGATATAATTTATTTTGCAGATAAGATTTAGCAGCAGAGTAATTAGTTATCAACTGTTGCCACTTTCTTTCAAAATCTTCAATACATGAACTATTTCGAGTTTTAATAAACAATTGATGGCAAGAAGTAAATTCATCATGAAGTTTTTCTTTTGACTGCTTTATAAAATTTTAATTCATATGGAAAAGGCAGATACAATGGTGAGTATCAGGCAATTTTGCTTTGATGGCTGCAGCCAGTGTTGGGAATTGTACTAGTACTGTACTAGTACTATACTAGTACAATACTAATACTGCACTGTACTTTTAAAAATTCGGACATTAGTACATAGTAAATATGACATCATATTATTTTTATTGATTTTTATTGGCTGTACTAAGTACTAGTACTTGTACTAAAATTTATTTCGTACAAACTATATAGTATATACAGATTATGTAAATTTAACAATTGAATATATTATATTATTTATATACACCTCTACTAATCTTTAAAATGGACAATGCAAATTATCTTTAAACATTGTATCTAGTCTCCATTTTGCATCTTTATTTTGTGCTGGATGTTCAATATTTTCGACATTTATATCATCTATATCAAGTTCGTCATCATCATCACCACCTATTTGGTTTATTTGATTTTGAAATTGTTCTTCTATATTAGTATCGTCATTATCATCATCATCACTTTCTTCACTTTCTGTATGATTTAATTCATCTCTATTATTAATATTAGAATCATTTTCCTTATTTTGTTCGTCCAAATTATCTAAATTTATATGTTGTTCTAAATTAATATTAGCTGTAGTTGATTTTAATAATACCGATTCTTGTTTGCGCCTTTTGTAAGTAATATCAGCCCGCAATTTTGCCATATTTAATACCCGAGAAAACTATAAATAATAAATTATGATTTAATAATATAAAAAAATATAGCATATCGGCAAGGTATTATCAAGTAGATCAGGTGTAACACTATCACATGTTAATATTATGAAAATCTAAGCCACTCTAATAAAATATAAAATCTTGTATTTGCGTATTAATATTGAACTAAAAATCAATTACAACACGTATTTAGAATAAACTAAACCTGTCATATGGAATTATTTAATTACCTTCAATCGATTTCTAGCTTTTGTATGGAGGAAACCCATACTACTCCATAATCGTTCAACTGATGCGGCATTGACACAGATTCCAAAAATACGTGCCGCAACAGTTCCAATTTCCGGATAAGCACTTCGAACCCAACACCAATATCTATGAATATCATTTTTAAATTGGCTAATAGATGCATCATCAAAAGGATATTTAGTTCCTTGCGAAAAGTCATCAAATTCTTTAAGGATAGATATAGGATCTTTTCCAGTCCAAGCTTTATAATAATAAACTAGCCATTTGCCGATATATATGTAAATAGCTGATTTGTGATCTTGATGGTAATGTAAAATAATTTGATCTATAAGCCAGATGGAGAAGCCAAGAGAGAATGAGAAGGGGCTGTTCCCATAACTCCCATCTTTTCTGTAATCGGATTAGAATTCCGTTTGCCATATTATTATCTGGATATTTTTGCCAAAACTGATAAATATAGGCAAATCCATGCAAAACTTCAAACAATCGTGCCTTATCAGTTTGTAGAATATTAAGAATGGCGCAATAAGGAAGTAGAAGTTGTTCTAATTTTATTAGTGACTCCCAAAAATGTCCATTCATAATTATATTATAAATTTCACATGGAATTGTTAATGGATCTGTTGGTCGTCTTTTATTTGTAGAAGTTGAAGGTTCAAATTTTGTAGCTAAAGACTAATAATATAAAAGTAAATTAAATCAATTATAGTAGTGTAATTACAAAAATTAAATAAGAAAATAATTTTACCCGTAAAGCATTTTTGGTAGCAATTATACTTTTACAGCAATTAAAGTAACTATTCCATCTTGTATCACCGGGAACCACAGGTTGGATACATTTTCCATATATTTCTGTTTGAATATTTCGGAGTTTTCCAATAAAATATTTATTATTTGCATTTTTAAAATAAACTGCAAGTTTTAAAGCCTTTTGTGATGTAGTTTTAAGTTCAGACGAAACTTTAAAAACTTCACCAACGCACAAATTAATTTTGTGTGCATAGCAAGGTAAAAAAACTGTATTTCGATATTGAACTTGAAGTCTTTTTCTATTAATAAAATATATGAATAACATGATTAATTAAATTATTAAAACAATAATTATTAAAATAAATAGTAATTTATCAATTTATTTACCTTGCTGCATTATAAGCAGGCGCACTATCTGTTACAACAGCTAAAAGAGGTATTTTGAGTTCATCTAATTGTGATATCATTTCCTCTACTTTTAATCTAACTTCAATATTTGTTACTCTCTCGCTACTTATGTCAGAAGCTTTCCATACATATGGTTGTCCATCAGATGATGTGAGTACCGTCCCCATTAATTCTTGTTCACGAACATTTGTCCAACCATCAAAAGAAAGGGTAATTCCTACTCTATCTAATACTAATTTCTCTAACATCTTAATATCAAATTCTTTAACAGCCTCATCTAAAATTTCATTTGATATGGTTTTTCGATCTGGCAATTTAATTTGTGGATTAAGAAATTTAAATAATTCAATTACCTCTGGATTATTTATCCAAGACAGTGAAAATCCACAAGAAATAGTAACTTGTAATAGATGCATATGAAATTTTATTTTATCTGCACTTGAAAGAGATCGTGTAATAAATGACTCCATGGGGCCATAATTTGACCATTGAGAAGGTAAAGATGTCAATGAAGAGTGTGAAGAAAATGATTCTCTTCGTTCAACTATTGAATCTAAAGTTGGATCAAAATCATCTACTATTGAAAAAGATGTGTTAAATGTTAATTTTATAGTAATAATGAAACATATCTTATATCTATTTATATAAGAAACTACTTACATATTCTTTTACCCAAAACTGTACTTTTTTGTTTATTAACTGAAAATACTTCATCTTTTTCCTGTTGATTATATAAAGACTGAAAGTTTTGACAGTTTTTGAAATGGTTTAAAATTCTGTCAGTCTTGTCTACTATTTTTTTTAATTCGGGATGATTTTCAC